TTGCAATTTGAGTGACTTAATCATTATATCAGTTACTTAATTTTGAGTGTTGCAATTATTCAACTTGATTCTTCATTTTTTAACAATATCTCTTAAAAAATGAAATCTAAAATCAATATGCTTGTTTCTAGCATGAAATACTAGATTTCTAGACAGTTTAATAGCTGAAATACTATCACATAAAACTAGATGTTTCGGTTTGTTAAATCCAATGGTCTCCAATATTCTCTTAATCCAAATGCATTGGCATGCATCTGATCTAGCAGTTATATATTCTGATTCTCTTGTAGAAAGTGTTACTATTGGTTGCTTCTTGAAGGACCATAAAACTGCTCCAGTTCATAGAGAGAATACAAAACCTAATGTACTCTTCTTATCATCTATGTTTTCTTTTTATCATCTATGTCTTCAGCAAAATTACTATCAATATAAGCCATCAATATTGTATCTTCTTGGTTCTTCTAGAAAATTCCAAATTTGGTAGTTCCTTTCAAATATCTTACAATATAGTATATTATATTTAACCAAAGTGTAATGTGAACTTTGTATTTCTAACAATCCTTCACAACTTGACCGAGCAAGAACACCAACTTCTTCCCCATCAGAGCAAATTCCTGATTTGAACGGTCCAAAAGGTTTATTGATAACGACATCAAGGTTCTGTGACATGCCTTCTTACCTTTATGCTTGTGTTTTCTTTCAATGTTTCTAACCTCATCAAGTCGGCAACTTCTATTTTTCTTACCTTTATGCTTGTGCATGCAATTTAATGTTAGGTTCGTGATATTTAATTATGATGTTGCTTTTTCATCCTTGGAAGTACTTATAGTGAGTGCATTGGTTCAGGTACCAAATACCAGAGACTCTCATACTTAAATACATTATATTTGTTTGTCTATCTATCTATATATTGTGCTCTTTGGCAATATTATTAAGTTGCATTGTGTTGCCTTACAAGTTAATATCACTGTGATTTATATCATCGTGTTATATCAATGTGGTTATTAGTGTTTCTATGAATAAATCTCTGATATTTCATGTTATCTCAAGGTCCTTATTTTTATTTTATTTTTGCTTATATTACTGTTAAACAGTTCTTCCAATGTTAATAATGGTCTTACAATATGCTTTCCCATTCGGTTTAGGAAAGTTAGCTGTAAGATTCTTTGCTATTCCTTGAGCATAGTTTTTTATGCTATTCCTTGAGCATATTTTTTTGCTCTCTGTTAGTCACTTTGTGCTTTGAGTTTGACATTTTTGCTATTTGACTACTTATATGCTCTCTTTGACTCAGGAAAACTCTGCTGTTTTACAAGTAGTTTTAGCCTAAAATAGAGTAGTTGAATATTCCATAATTATGTTTTCTACTCAATAAATTGAGTAGCTCTGTTGTGGTCTAAACATACGAAAAAATGATATACAGAGAAATAGATATCGAAGACGATGATTATATCCCTGATAAAAATAATTAACACCAAAAATTGATAAATGTTATTATGTAACACATTGTACCTTACATGCTTATTATGTTTATTTTAAAGAAAATGTTTTTTTAACAACTTGTTTTCACCAAATACATGTGTAATAATGTGGTGACTTGTGATTGGTTCATTTTAAATATTTTTTAAAAATAAATTTAAACAAAAATGAATAAAATAATAATACGTGGTTATTGTCAAAAATTGATATGAAAAATTCTTATTTTAATTTTCACCTTTGCACCTACTTGGCTTCGATTGGAACATGGTTGTTTAGTAGACATGCTTTTTGTTTACCTTTTTGTTATCAATCAAAGGAGTGCAAAAGAGGAAAGTATCCACTCGTGATGGATCAAAGTGAACAACCAATTTAGGAAGTAACTACCTAATTATGAACATTGTCATATAAGTATAATTTTGTAAGCACTTCATGTTGTCTCTATCACTCTCTGCCAGGTAATTATTAGAGTGGTTCATGAGATCCTTCTCCTATCATATAGTCTGGAAGCCGATATATGAAGTCGACCTTTTTATGCACGAAAAGAATCTAGAATTTTGAACAAGAATATAAAACTGAATGAGAAAATGTTTTAAAAAATTTACCTCAAGATCTCCAATTCGTAATTCATCTCCATCATTAACTCTAAGAAGGGGAAAACACCATGGTTAAAGATTAAAGATCCAAGGAGAAATGGGAGAGCCTTCTAACACTCCAGAAAACCTCAAAGGGTCTCTTTTAGTCACCCTAGGTCGAAAGTGAAGTGTGAAAGAAAGAAAAATCTTCGAACACTAAAAAAAAAATTGTTGTTACCTACAACCAAAATTCATATACAAGGTTGAAAATTCGTAGGTAAAACAGTGTTACCTACAAATTACATACAGACAAAAATTCATAAGTAAAATGATCGTAGATAACATTACATACGTATTTATCCATAAGTAAAATTTGTATGTAATTACTTACGAATAAATTTGTATGTAACATAATCGTCAGCTTTAATAAAATAGCTTGGTTTTTAGAACAATTATATAGACTTGGACATATATTTAAGTACATATACTATGTATATATAAGAAATACTCATTAAATAAATAATTTCAATACACAACAATTTTCATACATAGAAGCTCTAAAATTCAAATATTGTAAAATACAAATGTCTAATACTAATAAATAAAGTCTAGAGTCGTTAAATACTTAAACATATTAATTACTAAAATATGAAATTCCTTAATTCTAATAATCACTATAAAAATGAAAATATATGTTTCTAATTTTAATTTTATTAATAACTAAATAAATATAATCATAAAAAGATAAAATGAAAAATGAAAAAAAATAGTATAAAAATTATATTTTAAATATAAGTTATTTTAATAATTTATTAAATGACTAATTAATTAAAAACTATAAAAAGATAAAATTAAGAATAAAAAGATAATATAGACAAATTAGTTTTAAAATAAAATAAATAATAAAAGTTTAAAACAAATGTTATATATGCTAGAAAATTAAATCTAAATAAAAATATTAAAATTAGAATAAAAAATAAAAAATAAAATAACTTTCATGCACATGACATCATATAAATAAAAATAAAAAATATGAAATGAGAAAAAAATATTCATTTTTATACACTTATTAACAAAATAAAATAAATAATAAAATAAATTTTAGAAATATATATTTTAAGGTTTTCTATTTAATTTCTAATTAATTTAAAAAATTTATAACATCTTTATAAAAAATAATTTTAATTATGTTAGTTTTTTTTTATTGTAAGAACCTAGAAAATAGAGTACTATAATTGATAAGTGTTTTAAAATAATGAGATTCAGTATTTTAATGTTAAAATAATTCAATAATATAAATAGAATTTTCATAAACTCATTTCATTATCTAAAATACTCATAATTTTTCTAGAACTCTTCCCTTATCTTTTTTATCTCTCTCTAAGATTTTTTATTCCTGAATCATCTGTTTGACGATCAAGAAGTGTTTAGAATATCAGAACAGTGAACTCTCCAATCTTTCGGTTTCTTTGTAGACCAAGTAAGTTTCTGCTCTCTTTTTTTAATTCGTAATTTGAGAGACATGCGACTAAAATTTTCTTGCATGTGTCGTTCACCTCTCTTTTCCAGATTATTGTTGATAAGAGATCTTAAAGACTTCCTTTGATCACGATTTTATGGTTTGTAGGTATTTCTAGAGTTCTCTAAGATGAAACAAAAATAGTATACTTGATAGATCTGCATAATTTTCCAAACAAGTAAGGAAATTGTGTGTTTGTCATAAATTGTTGTTTTACTTTTAAACTTATACATATATATATCACAATAAATCTATTTTAAGTATTTTAGTATTTAATTTTTAATATATTAATGTTTTATACACATTATTTAAATTTTAATATTTATGTGTTATTAATTTTTTAATATGTGTTTTTATTTTTATTTTTATTTTTTTTAATATTTTTTGTTATTTAATATTTCCTGGGGTGTAGGGTTTTGGTTTTCAATTTTCAAATACAGTTTTAGTCAAAAAGTTTGTCTAAAAGTGTGCACAAGTTTGGCTGATTTTGAGAAGGTTATTAAGGTAATCACGGGAATGCAGGTTCAGAACATGAAAGTGCAGTGGGAGAGCTTAAGGTTTAATAGGTATTTTGGTTTAAATATATTTAAGATTGATTTAATATAATTTTTTGTTTTCTTATTTTAATTTTTGTTGTTTTTAATTTAATTTTTTGATTTTTAAAAAATAACTAAAATAAGGATTAAATTAAAAACAAAAGTAATTAAAAACTTACACAAAATAAATTTCTCAAATAAGATAAAATATTAATTAAGTCAATTAACAACAGAAAAGGATAACTAGAAAGAAAATAAATATTTCTATTTTTTAAAAAAAGACATATAAATAAAATATATTAAAAATGCTATTTTTAAAATTTTGTTGTTACCAATTTATATTCTATTCTATTAATAAAGTTTATAATGGTTTCTAAGATAGTAATCACAAATAGTATAAATATTATCTATTAAAACAAATAGTATAAATACTATCAGAATGTGCAAAAATTTGTAATGTTTCGAATATTAAGTCAGTTTTTAACACTTCATAAGAACTGACTGCTTTTAGAATGGATAACAATTTTAATACTTTCGAAAATTACTTCAAAAGTAACTTCAGAAAATTACTTTCTACAAATAGTTGTTAATACAATAACTTATATAAATTCTACAATATAAAAAGTATATTAATATGACTTTAGAAAGTTAAAAAATAGTGGCTAGCCCAATAATGACAGTCTCTTGTAATTGTAAAAAGTTTCAAACCAGATAGATTTTAAATAAAGAAAAAAAAATAGCAAAATTCTATAACTCTCTAGAAGCGTGAGAATCTCTGTAGAAGATGTAAATGACTGAAGCTACTAGAATATAGAGAAAGATTCCACAATACGCTTTGATTTTGTCCAGAAAGTTCCATTTCTTTCTGGAATAATCTGTCCCCCTTATAAATTGCTCTTTCTAATCCCTCCTCATCACAGAAACGTAGCAAATCAAATACAGAGGAATATTCGCAGATTCAAATACAGAAAGAGATGGATTTCAGAGTGATGGGTTTGGAATCTCCATTTTTCCACACGCTGCACCGCATGATGGACATGTCAGAGGAGGGTGCAGGGGAGAAGACAAACAACGCTCCGACACAGAAATACGTGCGAGATGCGAAAGCGATGGCTGCAACAGCTGCGGATGTGAAAGAATATCCGAATTCCTACGTGTTCCTGATCGACATGCCGGGGTTGAAATCTGGTGACATAAAGGTTCAGGTTGAAGACGATAACGTGCTTTTGATTAGCGGGGAGAGAAAGAGGGAAGAAGAGAAAGAAGGGGTGAAGTTTGTGAGAATGGAACGAAGAGTTGGGAAATTCATGCGTAAGTTTGTTTTACCTGAAAATGCAAACACTGATGCAATCTCTGCTGTGTGTCAAGATGGTGTTCTCAGTGTTACTGTGCAGAAATTGCCTCCTCCTGAACCTAAGAAGCCTAGGACTATTGAAGTGAAGATTGCTTGATATGGAAGAACTGAACAAATGAAAGTCTGTGTCTCTTAGTGGCAAAGAGTTGTTCATTTTCACTGTTACAAGATGTTTTAGCTTGGTTTTGTTGTAATTTCTTATCAATGTCCTCTTTTGCTTTCTAGTTCTGTGATAATGTCAGCAATGATTTTGGTTTAATCATCTCAAATTTCTAATTCTTCTATCCTTTAATGCAGATCTCTCATTTGTTATGGAATAGCAGAATTTAAGAACAAATTATATTAATCTTGATGATATCATGAATATGTTCATCACATATAAAAGAGAAAAACAGAGTTTTATAATTTCTTAAACATCTTCCCTTCAAAATGTTATAAAGTCTTTATATTACAAAGTCTCGTTTTTTTCGTTTTTTATTTTTGGTAGTTGAGTTAGTATTGGTTGATTTTGTGATAGTTGAGTTTATGTAATTAAGTTTATGGTGGTTGAGTTTGTGTTGATGAGTTTGTGCTATATAATTTTGTTTGTTGATTGAATTCAATTACAATAAATTTATTGTTGGATGATCCTTCTTTCGCTTGATTCGGATAGTTGTAATCACAAATTTTGCAAGGTTGTAAGATAGTGAATTTATATTTGTTCGAAGAAGATTCAAAATATTGTTTTTGAAACTTAGATAATATTTGTGAAACCATTTCAAGATGTGTAAAAAGTTGAAGTGACAAGGATTATTCTTTGATCTTATAAAAGAAGAAGTCGAAGGAAAGTCATTACAATTAAAAATATTTATGACAACATCAATCGTAAACAATTTTTTTTTATTTTTTATTTTTTAAAATTATTTTTTAATCTAATGTCTTCAGGTTTTTCAGGTTTTTTAGGATGTTTTAAATAATTTAAATATTTACACCTAAACATAGAGATACCAAATACATATTAAATATTTTTGAATTATATTATCTGCATTTACTCTTTAAGAAGAATATATATTAAATATTTTTGAATCATATTATCTGCATTTACTCTTTAAGAAGGATTCTCTTAAAGATTATTTCTTAATTATTAATATATTTATACAATAGTTTAGATAATTAAAAATATTTGTAATCTTTTTAATTTAATTTTGAATTTATTTTTGAGTTTTATGTTTTTAAGCCTTTTTTAAGATTTTTTTTTGGGTGGTTGTGCCTATATAAAATATTAGATATATATGTAGACACTTTTGAGTTATATTATATACATTTGTATTATTTTGAGATATGACTATCTTAATTTTTAAATTAGAATTTTGATTATTATAAAAAATTAATGTTTTTACGAAAAATGTTTACTTAACTTATCAATTTGTTAGATTATAGTGTTTAAATTTTTGTCTTATTTTGCATTTTTTTATATTTTTATTATGTCTTTTGAAGATTCAAATTCACAAAAAAATAATATTTTTTTTGGACAGATTGTATCTTTGTCTTTTTTGGATAGAACTTTTGACGCTTGCAAGAACGTGTGTTTATCATATTAAAAATATATGAAGTTGCTAATATTTTCTCATCTTTAAACCCGACTTCAATGTCTCTTCAAAATAAGTTGAAAATTGAATTCATTCAAACAAGGTATGCTGATAACTTATTCAATATGTACGCTTCCTACAAAAGAGTGAAAGACATTTAGGATTCGTTAAGTCTCAAATATATATACTACTGAAGAAGATGTTGTGTGATAGATTCATTATAAGAAACTTTGTCATTAAAAGATTATAAAAGATAATGACATATAGACTTAAAATTATGAAATCAATCTTCAATGACATACAACATTGCAATTTTCTTTGAGATGATAAATGATAATAGATATAAATATTTCACACATGATAAACTATTTAAGAAAAATATTTTTTATTTTTCACTTCATCTTCTTCCTTCTAAAGTCAAGGATTCTTTTACAAATGTCAGAGCTACATATTTATCACTCAACATCATCTTTTTTATCTTCTACTCACCGTAAAAAAGATATCATAATGAATGAAAACTAGAAGCTTTTACTTAAGTTTGAGTTGTGTGAAAGTGTAATTGCAAAATTCAAAACAACTAGTCGTGTGAGAGTTGAATCATAACCACCACTTTTAGGTCCACTCTTCTAGGTTCTCTATCTTAAGTTTGCCTTTAAGTTCACCACAACCAAGCTCGTCACCTCCATAACCTACCTAGGTCCACCACTGCTAATTAAGTTTATTATATCCAAACCCACTACCTTAACCTCTACCAGCCTCACCACCACCAAGGTCTCTTATAACCATCACCTTCAAATCCTCCAATATTGCCAATCACCTTCAGATCCTCCAATATTGCCAATGACATGTGTACATTAATCCCATCATATATAACTAAATTGATGTGTAATTGTAAGAAATAAAATAAAATCCAATTATGTACAACCATGTGGATGTTTGACTATAATTCTATGTGAAAAAATTATTTATCACATAATTTTTTGTCATTTGTTATCAAAGACGCTTTACATTAATTTATAAAATGTAAAGACAAAATTAGTATATACTTTAATTCACAAATGAAATATAATTGAGTCAATAATTCAAAAACCAAAAAATTATTTATTCTTAAAATTTAAAACTATATTAATTACATTAGTGATTATTGTTTTATAAATTATAATTTATTCCACATTTTTTTAGAAGAGGAAAAAAATGACATTTTATAGAAGAATATAACTTATTTATTTTTGTAATAATCTATCTTTATGGTTTAAGTATGATTTTAGTTTTTGAACTTTGACGTAAAATTGAAATTTGTCTGTATATGAAACTTTGATACATTTTGATTTCTAAACTTTAAAAATGAATAGATATAATCATTTTAATTAAATTACATTAAAAAAAATTTATAAACGTGACATGTAAAAAAAATTAAACTAATTAAATTAAAATAGGCTTAAAAGCTTATTTCGTTTTCATGTTAAGAGGTGAATTTCTCTTTAGTACCTGGTTTTAAAAATGAAGACATTGGGTTACTATGTTTATGAAAAGTGTATGAATAAGGTCATGTCCGTTAAGTTGACAGGACATTAAGTCCATGCTGATGTGCTCATACTTTTTCTCTTCTCTCTCTTGCTGTCCAACTTTTTCTCTCGCTTGTTTAGTTTTTTCTTTGATGATTTGTTGAACTTGTTCTTTCTTTGTGTACTTTATTCATATACTTTTGATAACGTAGGGACATACCCAATGTTTTCATTTTTAAAACCGGATACTAAATAGAAATTCACCTCTTAAGATGAGGACTAAGTAAGCATTTAAGCCATTAAAATATTATATTTATTCACTTTTTAAGTTTAAAGTTTAAATGTATCAAAGTTTCAAAATTTTATTTTTTATCAAAATTTAAGAACTAAAAACATACTTATCATTTTTATAACTAATAATGATGATTATATTTTGTAATTTTTAAGCTATGCATTTGATTATTAATTTTATCCTTATCAATATAAACTATTTTATTAATTATTTTATTTTTTAGATTTTGTAACTTTTTTAAAAATTATTCTTAGATATATGTATTTTATAAATTTAATAGCATTTTTTAAAAGTTTAATAATATTTGTTTATTTTAATAATAGTTAGAAGAATTAATTATTTTTTCATAAGGTAGATGTGGATTAATAGTTTTCATTTAAGATGACAATGTAGATTCACTTGTATCATTTTGACATGTTGATATTTGGTGTACAAAGACTATATTAGGTTAGTCCGTCCTACAGAAAAAATAATAATAAGCCTCCAATTAGATCATGTAAATAAAATTAAATATAAATATTATAATAATAATTTAATTTTAATATTTCAATCTTTATTCATTCCATAAATCTATTATTTACAACAACATTAAAATAAATCAAGTACACAAAAACATTAAAATTCACATTAATAAACAAATATAAAAGTTAATTTTTTTGAATAATAAAATATAAAAATAAATTATTATTTAAAGTAAAAAAAACTATGATAATCAATCAATATTAGTTTCAACAAGAAAACTTAAAAAAAATTACAAAATGAAATAAAATAATTATGTCTGACTTAAAAATTAAAAATTTTATTTACCTCATTCATTATTAACTCTCACTTATTCGAGTCATAAAATTAAAATATTTAGTTCACTGTGAACCTTTCCCAACTAAATACCGATGCCTCTTGTCATACATAATATTTCTAGTAGTTTATAAAAAAATAATGTAAAAATTAAGAATTTATTACAAAGCATAAGTTAATATTTTCATTAGTTAAATAAATATTAAAAGTACTAAGGAGAAAATGAGATAATAGTAATAATGACTTAAATTCTGGAAATTATTAGAAGGATCCGGAAAGTCAAGGACTAATAACATAACCCAGTCTTCTTCTTCCAGTAGCTTCTATTTGCAATTAGCGTATTGGCTTACATCAGAAACTTCCATTTCTATCTGGAACAAGGTACATTCCCCTTTAAATAGCCACATACGTTCTTCCCAACGAAGAAATATCCACAAAACAATTCTCAAACAAAAATTGGCTTTCTAAACAGCTTTCCTCGTATCCGAAAAGTGATGGATTTCAGAGTGATGGGTTTGGAATCTCCATTGTTCCACACACTGCACCGCATGATGGACATGTCGGAGGAGGGTGCAGGGGAGAAGACAAACAATGCTCCGACACAGACATACGTGAGAGACGCGAAAGCGATGGCTGCAACAGCTGCGGATGTGAAAGAATATCCGAATTCCTACGTGTTCCTGATCGACATGCCGGGGTTGAAATCTGGTGACATAAAGGTTCAGGTTGAAGATGATAACGTGCTTTTGATTAGCGGGGAGAGAAAGAGGGAAGAAGAGAAAGAAGGGGTGAAGTTTGTGAGAATGGAACGAAGAGTTGGGAAATTCATGCGCAAGTTTGTTTTACCTGAAAATGCAAACATTGATGCAATCTCTGCTGTGTGTCAAGATGGTGTTCTCAGTGTTACTGTGCAGAAATTGCCTCCTCCTGAACCTAAGAAGCCTAGGACTATTGAAGTGAAGATTGCTTGATATGGAAGAACTGAACAAGTGAATGTTTGGGTCTCTTAGAGGCTAAGAGTTGTTTACTTTCACTGTTACAAGATGTTTAAGCTTGGTTTTGTTGTAATTTCTTATTAATGTCCTCTGTTGCTTTGTAGTTTTGTGATATCAGCAATGACTTTGGTTTAATCATTTCAAATTTCTAATTCTTCTATCCTTTTAGGCCGATCTCTCATTTGTTATGTGTTTAAATAATGGAACAGAAGAATTTAAGAACATATTATATTCGTCTTGTTGATATATGAATATGGTCATCACATATAAAAGAGAAAAACAGAGCTCTATAATTTCTTATATATCTTCCCATCTATATGTTATGAAATCTTTATATTACAAAATTTATTTTTGGTTTTTATTTTCGTTGAGTTAATATCGGTCAAATTTGTGTTAGTTGAATTTATGTGATAAGTTTCTGTTGATTGATTTTGTTTATTAAATTTGTATTGGTTTAGTTTGTGTTGTCTGATCATGTTTGTTGGTCAAACTTAATTACAACAAATTTGTTGTTTAATGATTCTTCCTCTGTTTGATTCGGATAGCTGTAACAATAAGTTTTGTAAGGTTGTTGCTTGTTTTCAATAAGAAGGTACGATTAATAATCTTTATTCTTTTAACCTCGCCTTTAATTCCATCACTAGTAAGTTGGTGACCTTTATAACCCTTCCTAGGTCCACCACTACTAAGTTCATTATATTCAGACTCAGACTCACTACCCTAACTTCTACAAGCCTCACCACAACCAAGGTCTCCCGATAACCATCAGATCCTCTACTGCCACCAACGTCATTTATACATTTAATCCAATCATATTAACGTGTAATTGTAAGAAATAAAATAAAATCCAATTATATACAACCATATGGATATTTGACTACAATCCACCGTGAAAACTATTTGTCACAATTGTTTTTAATGATGTTTGTTGTCAAAAATATTTTACACTCTTTTGTAAAATATAAACATGAAATCACTACATATTTTAATTCAAAAACGAAATACAACTGATTCAATAATTCAAAGACAAAAAAACATATTTATTCTTAAAATTTAAAATTATATTAATTACATTGATTATCATTTGTTTATCAATGGCTTAAATGCCTACTTTGTTCTAAGAGGTGAATTTTTGTTTAGTACCCGGTTTTAAAAATGAAGACTGAGTTCCTATCTTATGAAAAATATATGAATAAAGTCCACAAAAAAAGAACAAGTTCAACAAATCATCAAAGAAAAAACTGAACAAGGGAGAGAAAAAATTGGACAGCAGAAGAGAGAAGAGAATAAATATGGTCACATAAACATGAATTTAACGTTGTTCCTGTCAGCTTAACGGACAGGACCTTATTCATACACTTTTCATAACATAGGGACTCAATGTCTTCATTTTTAAAATCGGATACTAAACAAAAATTTACCTCTTAACATTAGGACGAAGTAAGCATTTAAGCCTTTATGAATTATCTATTTCACATTCTCTTGTATGAAGAAGAGGAAAAATAGATATTTTATAGTAAAATATAACTTGTTTCTTTGTAATATGATTTATATTTTTATAATGGTTAAATATGTTTTTAGTTTCTAAATTTTGAAACAAAATTGATTTTTTTTTTCATGTTTAAAATTTTGATTCATTTAGATCTTCAAACTTTAAAAATGAATGGATATAATTTTTTAATTAAATTACGTTAAATTTTTTAGCATTATAAAATCAGTTGATATTTTAGTAAAACATGTCAAATAATGTAAACAATTCAAGTATTAAGACGAACATATTTAACATGTAAAAGTTAACATAATTGGGTTAACATGACTAAACTCATTCATTTTCTAAGTTTAGGATCAATGTTTTAGATATAGATAAATTTTAATTTCACATTAAAATTTAAAGACTAAAAACATATTTAACCATTTTAAAACTATTAATAATGATAATTGTTTTTTAGTTATTCTTAGAAATACATAATTTACAAATTTAATAACATTTTTATTAGAATAATAGTTTGAAGAATTATTTTTCTTTTTGTCATAAACAGCCGTAGACTGTGTTTTCAGTTAAGGATGACAATGTAATAAATTCACTCATGTTATTTTTACGTGTCAAACGAATGGATTAGGTTAATCCTCTTGCATAAGAATTTTGAACTACTTTTATTGATCTTTCAAAAATAATGATAAACCTACAATTAATCCATCTGAATAAAATTAAATATAAATATTATAATAATAAAAATATTTTAATATTTCAAATCTTTGTTTCATTACATATAAATCTATTATTAACAACAAAATTAAAATAAATTAAGTACACAAAAAATTAAAATTCACATTAAATAAATATATTAAAGTTAATTTTTTTATGAATAATAATATATAAAATTAAATTATTACTTAAAGTAAAAAAACTATGATAATTAATCAATATTATGTTAAAGAAGAAAACTTATAAAAAAAACAATTAACAAAATAAAATAATTATGTTTAACTAAAAAATTAAAAATTTTACACAAAATGTGTTTATCTCTTCCATTACTAGCTCTTATTAAAAATGACAAAAAAATATTTGTGAGGGTGATATTTGTGATAAAATTCTTTATAAATAATTTGTACCTACGAATGTTTATTATTTATAAATATTGGATAATTGTAATAATGAGTTAAATTCCAGAAATTATTAGAAGGATCCGGAAAGTCAAGGACTAATAACGGAACCCAGTATTGTTCTTCCAGAAACTTCTATTTGCAATTAGTGGTATTGGCTTACATCAGAAACTTCCATTTGTTTCTGGAACAAGGTAAGTTCCTCATTTAAATAGCCACCAACCTTCTTCCCATCCAAGAAATATCCACAAAACAAATTCTCAAACGAAAATCTTGGCTTTCTAAACAGCTTTTCTCGTATCTGAAAAGTGATGGATTTCAGAGTGATGGGTTTGGAATCTCCATTGTTCCACACGCTGCACCGCATGATGGACATGTCGGAGGAGGGTGCAGGGGAGAAGACAAACAATGCTCCGACACAGACATACGTGAGAGACGCGAAAGCGATGGCTGCAACAGCTGCGGATGTGAAAGAATATCCGAATTCCTACGTGTTCCTGATCGACATGCCGGGGTTGAAATCTGGTGACATAAAGGTTCAGGTTGAAGACGATAACGTGCTTTTGATTAGCGGGGAGAGAAAGAGGGAAGAAGAGAAGGAAGGGGTGAAGTTTGTGAGAATGGAACGAAGAGTTGGGAAATTCATGCGCAAGTTTGTTTTACCTGAAAATGCAAACATTGATGCAATCTCTGCTGTGTGTCAAGATGGTGTTCTCAGTGTTACTGTGCAGAAATTGCCTCCTCCTGAACCTAAGAAGCCTAGGACTATTGAAGTGAAGATTGCTTGATATGGAAGAACAGAACAAATGAATGTTTGTGTCTCTTAGTGGCAAAGAGTTGTTCATTTTCACTGTTACAAGATGTTTTAGCTTGGTTTTGTTGTAATTTCTTTTTAATGTCCTCTGTTGCTTTGTAGTTTTGTGATAATTGCAGCCGTGATTTTGGTTTAATCATCTCAGACTTCTAATTCTTCGATCCTCTTTTGACATATCTCTCAATCGTGTACTGGAATAGCTGAATTTAAGAGCTAATTATATAGATTTTTTCATATCATGAATGGTCACCATCACATATAAAAGACCAAAAACGGAGCTTTATAATTTCTTAAATATCTTCCCATCTATCACAAACTAATATCATGAAAATTGAAGTGGTAGAATTGAAGTGGTATAACCTTTTGAAACAGAGACTCTATTTTATTTGCTGGTGAAGAACATGATAACATGATGAGAGTGATGGATTTCAGAATTGTTCTATCGTAGATTTCTATTGAGCTAGGTGAATTTATCAGATAAGTGAGTCAGGGAAATAAAATTTTCTAGAAACTTAGTGTATTAATGAACTGGATATTGATATTATGGTAATAAGAACAATAAAATAAAAGATGAAGACACTTTAAAATGAAGAGTAAGATTTCTGATAACGAGTCCTGTTACAAGTTTCTTGGTTAGTCACATTCTTTTTAAGAGTTATAATCGAACCACTCTATTTCCTCCGTTACATTTGCTAAAAAATAAAAAAGTGTTTATATATTTTAAAATTATATATTTTCTGTTTTTTAATTTACAACTATATTACGAGAATTCATATTACCTTATTTTTAAATAAATATGATTATTCAGTCAGAGAATGCTCTCGTGTTAAACTCTATAGAAAGTGCAATTGTCAGATTTTTAAATCATAAATTTCCGAGATGTAGTAAATTTTAAAATTTCAGAAATTAAAAAGAATGTATCACTCAACTTTCGTACAATACTTCTCCTTCCTCCGTTCCTATTAATTTTTTAATTTTGTTTATCTATCATTTATATCAGTTATCATCCTCGTATTAACTATATTATATTTCACATCTTTTTTGGAGAAGAGAAATTTTTTATATTTTATCAAAGAAATTACTTATTCTTTCGTAATAATTTAGATAAATAATATAACTATTATTTTACAAAATTAAGCACTCATTAAAAATTAGAAAAGTTAATATTTGATTAATCAAATAAACCTTAAGCGTATTAAGGAGAAAATGGATAATAATAATGACTCGAACATTCTGGAAATTATTAGAAGGACCCCGAAAGTGGAAGACTAAAATAACCGAGCCTTGTGTTCCAGAAAACTATTTGCATTTAGCGCGTTTTCATCAGAAACGTCCATTTCTTTCTGGAACAATGTACATTCCCCTATTTAAAAAGCCACCTACTTTCTTCCCTACCGAGAAACATTCACAAAACTAAACAAAATTTCAAACAAAAATCTTTGCTTTCTAAGCGGTTTCTTTTGCTCGTATCTGAAAAGTGATGGATTTGAGGGTGATGGGTCTGGAATCTCCTTTGTTCCACACGCTGCACCACATCATGGACATGTCGGAGGACAGTGCAGGGGACAAGACACACAATGCTCCGACACGGTCATACGTGCGGGACGCGAAAGCCGTGGCTGCAACACCTGCAGATGTGAAGGAATATCCGAATTCCTATGTGCTCCAGATCGACATGCCGGGTTTGAAATGTGGGGACATAAAGGTTCTGGTTGAAGATGGTAACGTGCTTTTCATCAGCGGTGAGAGAAAGAGGGAAGAAGAGAAAGAAGGGGCAAAGTATCTCAGAATGGAACGAAGGGTTGGGAAATTCATGCGCAAGTTTGTGTTACCTGAAAATGCAAACACTGATGAAATCTCTGCAGTGTGTGAAGATGGTGTGCTTAGTGTCACTGTGAAGAAATTGCCTCCTCCTGAACCCAAGAAATCAAGGACTATTGAAGTTAAGGCTGCTTGAGTTTGCTAAACTTTTTAAGAACTGCATAAATAAAGATATAAACAGAAGAGACAACAGTGTTGTCTCTGTTTGAGTTCTTATCTTCCTGTTAGAAGAGTTTTATGGTTGACTGTGTTGTGTTTTTGCTAAAGTGATTTGTGGCTTTTAATGATTTCGTGAATATAAGTAAATTATGTTACTTTAACTATCTTCTTCTCCTTTTGCTGTCTGATTAGCAGAGTTGTCCTAATTTTCAAGATGTACTGATCCTTTACCAATTAAGTTGTGATCATATCCAAATTATTACAACATTGAGAATAAATTTTGATATCGTGTTGTATCAGTCCAGTATCCTGCAGAAAGTACAAATAAGTCACCAATATGAGCATAACATTCCAAGTAACATCATGATACAAGGTTTTACAAAAGCACTGTAATGGTTTTTAAGGGGAGTTTTACTTTAACTGAAGAGGGTACTACTATCAGCATCTATCTCTAATACATTCAAATCTAATAATTTGATTGAAATCTCCTACTGACATTGGTGCAATTCGTAAGTTTAGTGACAATTCGATTCTCAAAATACTTGTTACATGTGCACCAAATGATCCACAGCACAAGAACGTCATTGTAAGCTATATTCCCTCATTTCTTGTCGACTGTAACACGTTCAAGATTTATGAGGGAAGACACATATTGTCCATTCCCAAAGCTTGTCAAGGTTGGGTTGCTCATCCACTGAAGTATATAGTGTCATAACATCTTGACCATAGCTAATGAGGATAAAATGCCAATAGCTATTAAGGATGAACTATAATTAACATGGAAGGTTTAGGCATAAATCACACTAACAAAATCTTAAAAAACTAAAGGTAAATTATCTACACAACCTAGGTCCAACTAAATTAAAATCCATAACTTCATTCACAAGCTAAATTACTACACATTCAATATAACATTTATTATGATTTGATTTAGAGTTAAAGTATGTTTTAGAGACACACTCCACCTTGAATGTTGGAGATAACTCAATCCTACCATATTTTAGACTATTTGGAAGTGAAGTGGAACATCACATATTACGATGTGAAGACTGAAAAGTGTGAAGAAGTATTTTACGCATATTTGATCTGTGTATGAAATATATATATATATATATATATATATATATGTATATATATAAATATATATATATATATATATATATATATATATATTCAAGGTCAATATAGACAAATGAATCTATTATTAAGCTTATTTTTTAGAGTGTGAGTATAGTTAAAATATCAAAATTAAAACATACTTGTACTTAGAAGTGAATAATTGAATGAATTTATCTTAGCTAGAATAACATAGTTGTCATTGAAAAAATTAAAATATTTGTAGGTATTTTAAATTTCCACAATCCAGTTTCAGTTGTCTGAAAATGAATTCCTATAACCAATTATAGAACCTAGAAAAGAAGAAAAAAAATTGATAGATATTATGAAAAAACACAACTTTAATGAAGTAACTTCTTGCAATTCTATAATTTTAATATAGACTTAATTATATATTTAGTTCTCGTAGTTTCGTTGGTTTATTTCGCTTAATTTTTTTTTTTGGTTAATTTAGTTCTTTTACTTTTTAAAGTTGACATAACTGTCGTACGTGTAACACGTCAATTCACGAATTTTTTTATTTTTTATTTTTAAGTTTTTATTTTATTTTCAAAATTTTATAATTTTAAAAAATTATATAAACAGTCATATCTTAAATCATATATAACCGTGCAAGTAATAAAATAATAAAATGAATAAGTTCTGATATTGGTTTTCTACATAGACTTACGTTGTTTAGAAAAAAAAATATATTTATTCATTAATTTACGTTAAATAACTTTTGAATAATAAAAAGATTTAAATTCTTTTAGAATAATTCTAAGATCTAGACCGCCATTAAATGTATAAAAATGCTTATGAGAACTACTTCATGTATCAAATTAATATGAAATCACTAAATAATATATTTCTAATGTCTATTCTAATATTTTCATACCATTATTTATTACGGATTAGAGACAAGTCTAAATTTATTAATAAAAATCTTAATTTTTAGATCTTTTTATTAAAATTTCACATTAAGTATTAAGTTTGGATGTCTACATACGCAGTCAATTAATTATTTTATTCTAGTCTAGGTCTCAACATTGTGACCAATAATAAGATATCCATAATGCACTTAATAAATTATTATGCAGTTATCAACGAGAATAGAAACTGTTTCGGTGGAAAGTTTTGGGACCGAGAAACTAACCTGTTGATGTGTCGGGGCTGCTCGCTCGCCTCCAAACTCCAGCTGCTGGTCGATCGGTGTTGGCGCAAGCCGATCGGTCTCCTTTTGGACGGGGGTGGATGTACCTGCAAAAGGTACTCCGACGCTCAAGTTAGGCGTGTGATTTGAAGAGCCTCGGCTCTTGGTTGAATATTTAGTGAATGATTATTACTATTGAGTATTTGAGAGTCATGTAGAGTAAGTGGAACGTACCTGGCTTTTGGCCCTGGCTTTGTATTTATAATTTACCTCATGGATCCTGAGCTGATATAAGCCCAATAAAATATAAACAGAATAAGATATAAACAGATTACCTAAATATCCGGTTGGTTGTTTGTAACCGCTCGGTTAATATTTCATACTATACAGAAACAAAAGTAATGGGAACGAAATATATTGAATAACAAAAATCATAAAAAGTTAAGATACATTATGTCTAACCTCGTGAATAAGGGAGTTAGTTACTCTTATACATTGTGAACACTAAAAAATAAATAATGATGAGTGCCTCCGGTTTCTAGAATGAGTTTCTACCCAAGAATTGAATTTCAACTTTGTAAAACCTTCTATTTATAGATTTTTAGAAATGTAGAACACGCTGGATTAAACTTGAAATTGTACTTGAAGTAACTAACTCTATTGATAACTGATTTTGTTGATATATTTTTTAATCCTTAGTGATTTTCACTTATGTATAAAATTATAAACCAAATACTTATCTTTTCCAAATTATTAAAGAAAGCCTTAATTATCTACAAAGATAATAATCAAAATACCAATAAAAGATAAAGTATTATATTTCTTAAATTTATCTATAAAATCTCAATATCTAAACATATAATAATTAAAATATCAATAAAAGAGTATTACTTTATTAAAACATAAGGGTGAATACTTCATTTATTGAAGAAACAAAAATAATTATCTGTATAAAGATACTTATATCTTTTCTATTTAGAAATTATCACGATTTAATCAAGGTTAATATGCATTTTTCATACATTAAAAAACAAGTACTTGAAATAAAATTCAAAATTAATTATTCAAAATATTTGTTTCAAATTTGAATCATACTTTAATTTATTTGTTATATCATATATCACAATTAATTTACTATTATAGACTTTAGATTATTTAAATATTTTATTTGTGTAAAATTTTAGAAAATCATGTTTTAAAATTGTTAATGAATTTAAAATAGTGAAACTCAATTATTTTAATACTAAAAGTTTAACGTATAAATAGAATTCTTATAAACAACATTCATTATTCTAAATCACGTCATATCTCTAAAATTCTCTTTCTTTAGAGTTCTCTACCCTCTATAAACTTTCTAACCACTTGTTCATTTGTCTGAAGATCGGAGACCACCTGAGTAATTTTTAAGGCGAGATCTTCAACTGTATCCGATTAGTTTATGTAAAAGAGTAAGTTGGTTTATGCTCTTTTCCTTAGTCTATGCGTGTTTTTGTGCATGCAGATGGTTTTAGCTTGCATGTGGGGTCTGAGTCTCCTATAAGAATCTTTACTGATAAATGGTCTTAATGATGTATTCTGATCGTGTTTATGTTGTTTGTATGAGCATATAGAGTTTCTTGTGCTTTTGGAATTATTGTACGATCTTTAGAGCCATTTTGTCATCTGACACGTAAGAGAAACTAATTACATTGATTTTAACTGATAAACAACTTATAATTTCTGATTATATGCTTGTATGATAGTTGGTTTATGAAATTGAGTTGTTTGTTGAATTATGACCTATTGAGTTAGGTTAGAGTTTTAAATCATCTTTAGTGATCATATGTTGAAATGTTGATATCTTGTATGGTTGAGATTGTATTTGAGGTGAATTTAGTCATTGAATTGTGCATAACTTGATGGTTGGTTGTTTTGACATCTCTGGTGTGTTAAACTGATTTTGCAGAACTAGAATGACATAAATCTATAAAATTTTGTTATGTAGAATTATGCACACTCGTTGGGCGAGGATATTGTTAACTTTATGGCAAGTGAACCAATTCGTTATAAGTATTAAAATGGAAGTCCAAGTATCGTTTTTCTTAAGGGATTTGTGCTTGTTCGTCTAATTATTGTTATTTACTAACTATAGCTTTGATAAAAGTATGGTTTGATTCATAGCAAAGTAAAACGCATTTATGACAACAAATTTATAAGTTTAGTAAAATGATTCACTAAAAGCTTCATTAGGATTGAATTTCATAAATCAAATGATGTAAAAACTCTATACAATATATCTCTATCTAATTCAAGCATTCACATCAAAAGCATACTAGTCCTAATTCCTTAGGGGCAAGTTTTAAATTTATATGTTAAATTACTAATTCCTTAGTCAAATAAGCATACAATTTGCATTAAAATCAAATGTCTAGAATGACTAAGAGAGATTGAATCCATTCCTAGAACCAATCCTCTTGGGTGCTCTATTTGTGTCTATGTTTCAATTCATTCTCCAATGATTAGATACATTAAAAAAGGCATGATATTCCAACATACACATTACTATTCTAGATAAAACATATGAAAAAAAAATTATATTGCACAAGGAAATTTACATCATGTTGAGTTTATTACACCAAATCCTAATTAAATGGGAGTTTAACTACTCCTATGAATCTATAACATACAAGTTTGATGGAAATTGATGATTGAACGAAGTCTTGATTCCCTAGAGTCGTCTCTGACCAAATTTCGAGTTTCTATGCGTTTCCACACACCATAATAACCAACTTCTTTTGTTCATTCACGATTAAATAACCACTTTCAAAAATTACCCTTTTGTTGGGTGAGAATACACATTCATCGGGCGAGAATAAACTTTTGTTTCGCTTTTAAGTGATCTGTCTCACTAAGCGAGTCAATATACTCGCTTAA